CTTGATTTGAGAACGAGGGTAAGGCAAGCCTTTGTGGCAAGCCCAAGCCTTTTGTGGCTTCCTCAACAACGTGGACTTAGGCAAACCTTTGCGGTGAGCTGAACCATGGGATAAATCTTGTGTCTCGCGTGTTTCATCTTGTTTACTTGCTAGTTTAGCTCTTTGCGAGCTGGTGTTAGGGTTTGGTTGCTCGATCCACTCTTGTGTGGAGTTTCTGTGGTATTCAGTCTTTGAACTGGATCTTATCTTTCTATTGCAGGATTATGCAGCTAATGGGGTCAGGTTCATCTCTGTAAAATCTCAACTGTGTTAGATTTATTTTCGAAGAGCGGCAGTGCCGCCCTCTATTCTGATAGAGTTTTAAGTTGAATTTTTATAGGCCTATTCACCCCCCCTCTAGGCCTCCTTTATCTTCCTGGAGATCCCTACAAGCAGGAGCCCCCAACTATGCCTTCAAGAAGGGAACTGACGTCCGCTGGCACCATCATCATTGAAAGAAGCACACGGGGACTTTCATCCCATAACCATCCCCGGCATGGTGAGCAGAGCTTCGATGATTCCTTCAAGAAGGAAATGACGCAGACAGTGCCACCGTCACCGGCCCAGAGCAAGGTCGGGCAGGGTGTTAACCCAAGTATAGTTTCTCCACACCATAGGAAGGGGAGGCCGATATGCCTAGGGGGGCCCCAAGCTGGGGCTGTAGCCTAGGGTCTGTGGCAGTGATGAAGCACGGGCACCGCAAGGCTCGGCACCATGGCACCCCAAATGCCAGATCTGCAGCAGCCGCATCGCCAGGGGTGACATCCCGCCCAGCCAGGACCAAGATCCGCCCGAGCGGGCCATCCGGTGGCCACCCTAGCAAGAACCGATCCCGGCGGCCACCACATGTGAGATCCGATGGCCACTGCACAGCCAACAACTGCTAGGAGCGAGATCGGCCCCGGCAGACTGCCGGGCCACCAAACCCGCCGTGCAGGCGACCTGCGCCATCGGGACAGGAGAGGGCGGCCACCACCTCGCTGGACGTCACCAAACCACCGGATCCAGAGAGGGAGGCGCCGGATCCAGCCATGGAGGTCCTGGATCCACCCCGCTGGCCACATGAATCACCGAAGTTAAAGGGGAAGAGGAGGGGTGGTAGAGGAAGTAGGGGAGGGAATGGGGATTGCGGACGGTTGCCTGTTTTTGGGGCCGTTGTGGGCTGCCGCCATCGCATGCCGAGGGCGGCCGGAGGGAAGGTGTGAAGGGGAGCTCTAGGGGCGGTGGCACGAGCGCCCCCCGAGTCACCTACTGGGGGGAGCTCTGGGAGAGAGTCTATTCTCGTTATCCTATAATTTCTGTCTAATAGTTTGAAAACAAATAGCTTTCCTTTTCCCCAAAATCATACGCTCATATACATGTGTATACTCAATTAGTCACCCTTATGGACTTATATGAAGATAATCCCTGTCTCTAGGAACATCTCGAAAAGATTAAGCTGGATCAACAGATCTTGAGACTGATGAAGTCACCGTAAGCGTCTTCCCATAAACAGATATCATAAATGCTTGGTTGAGGTCGTCCTTCTATCCGGATGGACCAACCCGCGCGGCACGATGACCAAAAAAAAGGGGCGCGTGTTGTAGTCTAAGGGTCCGCACCCGTCCTTTCCGTGGTTAGTGCATGGGAGCACGTGTGACCACTTGCTTGGCGTGGGGTGCATGCAGCGTATGGGGCCGTGCATGCGCGGTGACCAAAGAGAAGAAAATGATCGGCACTAGGAATTCGTGAGAGGAGCACGGGGCCCGCATCTTCATGCGCCATTTTCTGCTCCGTGACTGGTGTCCGTGGGCATCGAAGTCCGCACTGGTGTATGCGTTTAAGGTGTATGTTTTGTATGTTTCATCCAGATGTTGCATGTGTTTCAAATGTTGCATAATTTGCAATGTCTATACACATATGTTGCAAGTGTATCTTCCAAATGTTTTAGCTGTTTTATCTAGATGTTGCATATTTTGATCTGGATGTTGCATATGTTGTGGTGGCTATATGCGTATGTTGCAAGTTGTTGGGGTTATGATCCCAGGGTGTCTCAAAGCATCGATTAGTTAGCAGGTCGAGCGGCCCATGATACATTAGCTAGTGAAGGCCTGAACGACCAAGGCCCAGCTGAGCCAAGTAAACCAAGCCGGACGCCAAGGCCAGGGTCAGCCACGACCCGTCCTTTCTGCCTTAGCCGCATGACGCACAAGAGACACACGACCTCTCCACCGTCATGACCCCTGGGAGGAATGGGGAGAGGTCGAGCCTAGCTAAGCGTGCCTATTCTGACAAGAATAGAGATGTCGCGCTGACCCCACAAGGAGCGAGGAGACAATGGTCACCTCGGTCCTGTCAGACGCCATCCCTACGCCACACAGCTCAGACAAGACAACACCGCCCAGCGGTGACAGGTGGTACAGTGCCCACCGTCCAAATACGGCTTGACAAGACGCATGTATGATTCCACCCACTACGGGATGGGATTCACGAAGGAGGCCTTGACTTGGAAGCCATCCAGACCGGCGAGAGCCACGACCCCAAAGCTCGAGATCATAGCCACCTGCTCCTCAAGATAACTAGGCGATCGATGACCAGGGGGTGGTCACCAACTGCCCCAAGGAAATCCGGAGACGATGACGAAGATCACGGCGAAGGCCACGATGCGAAGGACGGCTGGTGAACCACCACCATGCCTACAGTGCCGCCACGGCCGGCACAGTAGCACCATGCCATACCTTACCGCGACATGGGCACAAGACCATGATGACAACCACGCCCAGACGTGTACCACAAGATGGCGTAGCTTGCAAGCCAAGTTATCTAGGCTCCTCCCTCAGGCTTACGACCCCTCGGTTGGGAGAACCTTCTTCTTTGTACATGCCCTGGCCCCGGACTCTATATAAGGGCAGCCAGGGCATCCTTCCCACCATCTTGAATCGGAGACATCTTCAACTCATTGACACCGTAGTAGGGCTCCTAAAACTTCTCTTTAGGCGGTCCATCTCGTAGCTCTAGCACTCCTACCTCTTCCACCATTCTTGCACCCCCCCACTGTAAGAACTTCAGAGCATTCAAGCGAGGAACACGCACTCGATCATCTCTGAGACTGGACATAGGGCTCTAGCCTGAACCAGTATAAATCCTCGTGTCTTTTGGATGCTACCATCATCTTCCTAGAGCGGCGCGGCAATCGTATAAATTTACTAGTCCGATTTACAAAACACCGACACAAGTATATGCTTCAAATGTTTCAAATATATATTGCAAGTATTTTATCTGAATGTTGCATATGTTGCGGTGGCTATACACATATGTTGCAAGCATATGTTTCAATTTATTTCCCCTTGTTTCAGTATGTTGCAACAAGTGATGCTCCCCACGCGCTCTGACTCATGGGCATGCACGCGCTGCACGCACCCAGCCAGCGCTGCCTACCTATATCATGTGGGCCAGTTCGAACAGGCAGCATGCACGCAACGGGCGGTCACTACCCAAATGGCCGAGCACTCCCTGGTCAAAGTGCATGCACACATGCTGAGCGCCACAGTAGGCCAACACCCAATGGATACATAACTAGGCGCCCTGCACCACCAGGCGTGGGCCCCCACGGTGCAGCATGCAGTCAGGTCAACACATGGGTACGCGTGTTGTGCTCCCTCTCTCTCGCATGCAGCTAGGCGGGCCCCATGCACATGCTCTCCCGTGCAGGCACAGCAGCAGGTGCGGGCAAGTGCAGGGCGCAGCAGTAGCAAGAGGAGGCGCGTGTTTCCAAAAAAGAGCAAGAGGAGACGCGGGGCGCGTCAGGGGAAGCAGCACATGGGTAGGCGCAGCAGCATACGCGGGCGTCCGAACGCGAGCTGAGGGTCCGTCCGGACGTCCGGGCGCTAGCATGGTTGCCCATGTCACCTAGCATTGAAAGAATGCTGCCACTAAATCTTGTAATAAACCTAGGAAAATGCAAGCACCGGTATCAAGTCGACTACTTGAATCCAGATAAAAAGCTTCCACCATAAGAAACTAACCAAGTGAGCTATGCTCACTTTGCGCACTTCAACTACTTGAAACTAATGGAAAACGGGAATCGCCCTGTGCACTACTTGAAACTAATAATGGAAAACGGGAATTGCCCTTTGCGTAACAGAATATTTGTCGGGTTTTAGTTGTACCAATAGGGAAATTCATGATTTACTACATCAAGGATTGGAAGCCCCTCATCACTACCGGAATTGATGTCGGCAAAGGATAATCGACCGTGATTGGGGTGTCCTGTCACCGCCGGTTTGGTGACCCGACAATGATAATGGACTATCAATGTCAAGTCAAAGCATCAGCCGACAGTGATATCCATGACCATCACTGCCGGGTTGGAGTGTCACTGTCCGGTTGACGCATGAACCGGTAGTTATATAATGAGTGTCACTGCTGGGTTGGGACGACATTACCTGACAGTAAGACTTAAGATATCACTACTGGATCGTGATTGAACCCGACATTGATACTCACTACATCACTGCTGGCCTGGTACCACACCCGAAAGTGAATTTGTGAGTGTCACTGCCGGCCTATACCGTACCTGGCAGTGAGTATTATAAGACTCCAGATACACCAGATATGTAACCAAGCAAACAATTATAATGAACCAGATATATAACGCAGCAGAGAATTATAATAATACACTAGATACATCAAATATAATGAACCAGATATCTAAGATTATTCAAGTTACACAACACACCTAAAACATCTTAATGTATATAACACAAGATTTAGCTCGAATAATAAATAAAACACTCTGAATTAGTTCTCGCTTTCATATAAAATGTAAAACTATGATTTCTCTTCGAACACCTCATCCATGAAAAACCCAACAACTTGTTCTTGCATTCCTCTAATCTCGGACTCTAGCAGCTCACGCTTGTACTGTCATTGAAGCAAAAAGATATTAATAAGATGCACAATTAACATGCGTTACCGAAAAAATGGCATGTTTCATTGAATTGACAAATGTAAATAAAATGGAAAGATGAATCTCACTAGTTTTTCGACTGCGCTCAAACCATCATCGATGAATTTCTGCATTTTATGCGCCGCGTAGAAACTGCAAAGGTCGTTGGCCGGCAGCTGATGTAGGGTATAATTCTCCATAGTGTCCATCAGGAAAGTTTTTTGGTACAGTCTATACATCACGCTTTTCCTTCTGTACTCCATGAAGGCATTGCGTGAGATTATTAGAAACTGAGAAGGCTAAATGTATGTGCTCTATCCTTAAAATAAAAATGTTTCCCAAAAGCAGTAATAAGTATGATTTTGAGGTCTCTAATATGACTTATTGGCCTCCGCCTCGAGTCGTACACTCGCATCTTGTTTTGTTCTAGAATGATTTCTATGAGGACGTAATGGGCACTGCAATCACGAAAGTCCAATGCAAATTAGTCTGTACTTAAATTATAATATTGAGCAAGGCAAGAATCACGTACTCACAATAGTAGGCCAGGAGTATGCATGGTACTCCTTCGCAATTTAGGAATATCTGGGTCACATCCTCGATAAGATCAAGCGGATTGACATTAATTTTGTTGCATGTGTCCTGGTTTACTCTATTATTAGGGTCCAAGAAGGCCACATTATCAATCCCTCTGGCCATGCACGTTTCTGCCTCCATACTGCATAAGCAAGAAATGATCAATAATTCTTATATTTATCCATAAATACAAGACACAGTGTGACATCGTGTGGCGAGGGTACCTACGTAGTCCACAAGGAATGTAACGGAAGGTTGAGTTGGCGCCTCTGATAAAAATTAAACAAGCAGTCCCAGAAGACCCACATTATTTCTTCTCTATATGACAAAATAACTCTGAACATTAGTCCCAAATTTGAGGTGGTGAAGTTTGATGGCACCAGGAACTTCGGGCTGTGGCAGACGAGAGTGAAGGATCTGTTGGCTCAACAGAGTATCTCGAAGGTGCTCAGCGGGATTAAGCCGGAGAAGGTAGATGATGACAAGTGGGAGGAGATGCAGATGCAGGCGCAGGCATGTGCAACTATCAGGCTGTGTCTCTCTGATCAGATCATGTACCATGTCATGGAGGAAACTTCTCCGAAGAAAATTTGGGACAAGTTGGCCAGTCAGTTCATGTCCAAGACGGTGACTCAGAAGCTGTATCTGAAGCAGAAGTTGTTTGGCTTGAAGATGCAGGAGGGGTCAGATCTTGCAGAGCACATCAATGTCTCCAATCAATTGATTGCTGATCTTGTGAAGGTTGATGATGAAGACAACGCTCTTATTCTTCTATGTTCGTTGCCGAGGTCTTATGAGCACTTGGTTACTACGCTGACGTATGGGAAGGAGGACATCAAGGTGGAGGACATTGTTGCTGCGTTGCTTGCTCATGATCAAAGGAGGAAGAATAATGCAACGGAGGAGTCTTTTGGTGATGCTTTCCTAGTCAGGGGTGGTCGTGGTGTGGAAGATAAGAGAGGCAAGAAGAAGAAGGGGCCGCGGTGCTTTAAGTGCAAGAGGTGCCTTGTCAAGTTCTATAGTCTTCCTTCCTGTATATCCCGCAATTCTTGCTCTGTCATACCCATGGCTACGGCTTGTTTCTAGAATTCTATTTTTTTTCGTGTAGGTACTCGCCAGCCAGCCTGTCTGTTAGAGTTTTTGTTGCTTTGCCATTTGAAGTCCGATGGATATGTGGGTTTCCGTGGTGGGTCATTTAAACCTTTGAACACAGGTAGTTGTGCTTTCTTGGAGGATGGGTTCTGCTAACATGAGCCTTGCATTAGGCTAGTTGTGCTCCCACTCATATGACTTTTCTTCCCATGAGTTTCTGGATCCTAATTTATCAATGGGTTGGACCTTTTTCTTATCCAGTAGACCTCCTTTGCGGTGGCAGCAGCTACGGAGAAGGAGATGGATCTCTCCTTAGCGATGGCGTAGGAGAATGATTGGTCCTTTGCGGCGATGGCACAGGAGGTAGTGCTGTAGGATAAGGAGCCCTCCTTGGCGGCTTGGTATAGGAGGCGGTTGCGATGAAACCCTAGGCAGTGTTGAGGAACAACCGTCTTTTTTGCCCTCTTCATCCAAAGAGGAATCATTATTACTAAACTGTTTGAACGCCACAAAGCCCCCCCCCCCTTGTTCCCACCAAGTGTCTTGTTCTCTTCCTCAGGTGGATGCTCAAGCACTAATAACGACCTTGGCGTACCCTCTCGGTATTTCAGCCCCGTGTAGTAGCTGCCCTTCTTGGACGAAATACCAGGCTTGGCCTAGCGCCACCTTAAGAGGGAAGTACTCTTGGGGCCCATACAGCTTGCGGGGAGTGGGTTCATTGATACTTGTCGATACGGGACCCATGAGATACCCCACAAGGAAGAGAGAAGATCTAGTTTAATTAGGATTCCTCCCATGTAATCCTAGTAGTAATACTACCCTGTAATCCTACTAGGACTCTGCATTGTAAACCGACTATGACTCTGGCATCCTGACTATATAAAGGAGGACAGGGCTCCTTAGATCGGGAGGTCGAAAGGGGAGTTCAGAAGAACAGGAGACAAGACTTTACAATCAATCCAACACAAAAGCTAACGCCGACTGGACATAGGGCTATTACTCGATCACGGTCGAGGGCCCGAACCAGGATAAATTGACTGTCTCTTGCGTTTACCGTCTAGTTCTGCATACGCCGAAGCCCGAACAAATTGCCCCGGGTACCCCCGTGCCAGGCTATCGGTGGTGAAACATCGATAGCTGGCACGCCAGGTAGGGGCTTTCGGCGAATTTGCATCCGAGAGCTCGACGGACCTCGACAACATGATCTTCTCGACGGGATCAACCTTCATCTTTGGTTCATGGATCTGCGAGGCGGATGACAACGGCAAGCTTCAAGGCCATCTCCTCGAAGATTCGGATCACCATAAAGACCTCGCTATTTCGGCAACTACGGCAGATCAAATCGTCGGGAAACTCGCGCGGCTTGTGATGTCTGATCTGACTCAGATTTCACGACCAACCGTTTTCCACGCTGGTCCGAGTTCTTTTCCGTTAGGACTTCACAACGCGACCATTCAGAGTTCTCTCGAGAATAGTCCGAGTTCTTTTCCGGCGGGGGTCCAGAACGCGGCCTCAACCTATCAAGAATTCAACTCGGAGAACATTCAGAGTTCTCTCCGAGTTCTTTTCTGGCGGGGCTCCAGAACGCGGCATCAACCTATCAAGAATTCAACTCAGAAAGCATTCAGAGTTCTTTCGAGAATAGTCCGAGTTCTTTCCCGACAGGGCTCCAGAACGCGGCCTCGGCCTATCAAGAATACAACTCGAAGTACATTCAGAGTTCCCTCAAAAAGTCGGGTCATGGTACGACTACGTCAAGCTGTCCGAGCCAGGGGCAAGACAGTTGTCCAACTGCATCCCGAGCCGGAACCAAGCCAGTTGTCTGACTACTCGTCACAGTTTCCGACTACTTTGGCTGTGGTGACCAACTACTCGGCTGCATGTCCAAGTACTCGGCCAGGAAGCTCAAGCTGACGCTCGGGGGCTACAACCACTGGGGTCTCATGGGCGCAAAATGTCAGGATCGCGCGCTGATTCTACCACGCGGCCGTCAATCAAGCTAAGTCATGGTTTAATATTTTTTCAAATATTCTTTAATCATCATATATCTCCGGATATTATCCATATGCCTCCGCGGCTCTACTACAGTTGCATCCTCGACTACTCAAGTCTTCTCTTAACGGTTGTTAATTTACCTGGGTTGTTGAGGCCTTAATCCGTGAAGCCTACTCGCCGGAAAGGTGCGAGAGGTGTTTAAACGTAATAGGCTACCTACCTAGGGAAATTACATGGCCTAGTAAGAGCAAAACACGAAAAAATTTAATATGCATTTTATAATGTCTTCTCTTAACGGTTGTTAATTTACCTAGGTTGCTGAGGCCTTAATCCGTGAAGCCTACTCGTCGGAAAGGTACGAGAGGTGTTTAAACGTAACAGGCTACCTACCTAGGGAAATTACATGGCCTAGTAAGAGCAAAATGCGAAAAAATTTAATATGCATTTTATAATGTCTTCTCTTAACGGTTGTTAATTTACCTAGGTTGCTGAGGCCTTAATCTGTGAAGCCTACTCGCCGGAAAGGTGCGAGAGGTGTTTAAAAGTAACAGGCTACCTACCTAGGGAAATTACATAGCCTAGTAAGAGCAAGACGCAAAAAAAAATTAATATGCATTTTATAATACTGGGACATACTTCCAACTTGATATCTTGTGTATCAATTATTACATACTTTTGTATGATTACTTTGCAGGGAACCATTTTCTGGACCACGTCATCAAGTAAGGAGCTCGCCCACCGCTGGCTGCCTTACTTGGCCACTACTTCGTTGGGTGAGACACACGCCCCGCGCTGTCTTACTCGGTTGCTGCTCTACAAGTCGCCAGGACGTCCGACTACTCGACCACATGTGTGAGCACTCGGTCGCATGTCCGACTACTCGGCCGCGGTGATCGACTACTCGGTTGGGGTGATCAACTACTCGACAGCTAAGGTTGACCTTGTTGCGGTGATTTGGAAATTCTAAGGTGGGGGTGATACGGGGTCTCCGGTGAGGGGACTACCCACCCGAAGCCTTTTGATGTATTATCTAGGTTGCCTTACTCGGATCGGATCATGGTCGAACGAGAAGATTTTGCGTCAGCAAGATGAGCACGAATATGAGGATGCACGTGCATATTTATATGTACTTTCATTACTCAAGCGAAACAAAGGAAGAGGCATGACATACAGCAGCATGCAAGAAGACATCAAGCACGCAAGCTAATTATGGAAAGTACTCGTTGGCGCAACTGTGTTGACTTGCAATGGTATATGGATAGCCTACTGCAGTTCGCGGGTTACTTGGATACACCCTTGAGAATGTCTACAAGATCCTACATATCCTCAGAAGAGGTTTTCAATTCTTTGAACAACTCAGATTCAAGACCCTCCAATTTTTTGTTCCAAATAGCAAGAGGCTCGGGGGCTACACTCAGTGAGTGCACTTTTTTCTTCTAAAAAGCGCACATCACTCAGAAGACTTCTTCAAGACAGGAGTTTTCAAACAACATAAGATTCAAGATCCTCCAACTTTTTGTTCCAAATAGCAAGAAGCTCGGGGGGCTACACTCAGTGAGTGCACTTTTTTCTTCGAAAAAGCGCACGTCACCAAGAAGACTTCTTCAAGACAGACCACTTCAAGGCCTCACGACAAAAAGAACCCGGACCGAGCTATATCTGAGTTCTTTTTGATAAAGAACTCGGGTATATGCTCGGGAGCTCTTCGACGGAGAATCAGAGCAATTTTAAGACAAGACCCTCCAGCTCCTTGTTCCAAATAGCAAGAGGCTCGGGGGCTACACCCAGATGGGTGTACTTTTTCTTCAAAAAAGCACACACCACTCGAAGATCCCAAGAAGCGCTACACGGTTTCACTCAAGAAAGCACTCGGACGACGCTTGTTCCTACTCGGCAAGACCTGAAGGAACAAGACGAGGCTTCCAGAGCTCAACCATGAAGTGCTCGGGGGCTTGTCGATACGGGACCCACGGGATACCTCACAAGGAAGAGAGGAGATCTAGTTTGATTAGGATTCCTCCCATGTAATCCTAGTAGTAATACTACCCTGTAATCCTACTAGGACTCTACATTGTAAACCGACTAGGACTCTGGCCTCCTGACTATATAAAGGAGGGCAGGGCTCCTTAGATCGGGAGGCCAAAAGGGGAGTTCAGAAGAACAGGTGACAAGACTTTACAATCAATCCAACGCAAAGGCTAACGTCGACTGGACGTAGGGCTATTACTCGATCACGGCCGAGGGCCCAAACCAGAATAAATCGACTGTCTCTTGTGTTTACCGTCGAGTTCTGCATATGCCGAAGCCCGAACAAACTGCCCCGGGTACCCCCATGGCAGGCTATCGGTGGTGAAACATCAACAATACTGTCCACCGAAAATCCACCGGATACATTGCAGTTGCTTGATTCTCATCAACCGGGGTCGATCCACAGCTACTGCCCTGGGTGTCGCAGCTGTCTGATGTTACATCATGTGATGCCCGAGCAATGCCCAATCTTGCCGTGACGATCTGTTCAATCTTCCACTCAAAATCGGCACACATGAAAGTCTTAACCTTGTCCACGATTTGCTCCACCCTTCTCTGTTCCACGGCCGCTCGTTCAGCAGCAACCCTCGAGCGGCTCCGGTATGTTGTTCGGTCATCCTCGAGTGCAATCTTCCAAGGAACAACACCGGCCCCTCTTGTGTGTCCAGAATGCTCCTTGTTTCCGAAGTGCATATATAGGTCAGCACACCCCTCTCCCTGTTCGATTTGAACCTCCCTTGGGTAACCTCCTCATGCACTGGGACAACCCTATTGATGAGCTCCTACATTGATTTTCTACCCCCTAGTGAGAGTGATCTGTCGTCGTTGTAGGATCCCCCTCTCTCTAAAATGGACCTCTTTCCCTAGACCAGCTCATCATTATCGCTTCAAAACCGGCCTTCACTACCAGATTTTTAACCGACAGTGGCATACCGGCAGTGATGGGGGCTAGCATCACTCCGGTAACTTCA